CTGGACTTTCTGTACTCCTTCAGCCCTCACATTTATCTCCAGCTACAGTTACTGTAACCACTCCTCTTTCTCAGTCCTTCATTGTTTTTCTCCCTATTCATTAAATTCTTGTTCATGAATTTTCTGTATCATTCTTGCTCATGGTTTAGTTTCCTCCCCCAGCCTTCTAGTCCAGTTATAGTTATATTTTCTATTTATTGTGTTCTGTTTCCCTTGGACCAGTTCTGTTTTACTTAGTCATCCATTACATTATTTCAGCATTTAGTGTTAGTGTCTTCTTTATATATTCTGTGTCTTAATTGTTATCCGGTTCTCTTTCAGTCCCATGTGGTCCAATGGGTTTTTTCATAATAGCAATATTATTTGTCAATTTTTTTTCTAGTGTCCTAGAAATAGTCCCCATTTACTCTTTATTTCATTGTCGGTTTTGATCTGGATTCTAATTTCTTCAGTTTGCTTGCCAAACAACATCATATTTGTTTTTACCAATCTTTAAATTTCTAATTCTGTTGTCTTCTCAGTCACAGGGAGCTGTAAGTCTATGCCTGGGTATAATATTGTGGTGTCATCAGAAAATGAAATACATATAAATTTTGATGACTCACTGCATATATTAGAAAAAAAACAGCTTTTGTCCTAAAAGCAGACTGGACTCCACTATTTGTGTTCCTTAATCTTGACCTGTACTCATTCGTTTGTAGCCTACATGTTTATGTTTATTTATTTGGCAGACACTTTAATCCAAAGCAATTTACAATTTCTAACCTATAGGGCATGTTGTGATCTGTGGGGGAAACCGGAGTACCCGGAGGAAATCCATGCATGCATGGGAAGAACACGCAACTCCACGCAGAAAGGCTGCAGATGAGTTTTGAACCTACAACTTACGTGCTGCAAGGCAACAGTGCTAACAACTGCGCCACCATGCAGCCTACATATTGTCTGTCAGTTAAATAGGATTTAATCTATAAGCAATTCCTTTAATCCCATCCATCCATCCATTTTCATCCGCTTATCCAGAGTCGGGTCGCGGGGGCAGTAGCCTAAGGCGAGAGGCCCAGACTTCCCTCTCCCCAGCCACTTGGGCCAGCTCCTCCGGGGGAATCCCAAGACGTTCCCTGGCCAGGTGAGAGACATAGTCCCTCCAACGTGTCCTGGGTCTACCTTTAGGTCTTCTCCCAGTTGGACGTGCCCAGAAAACCTCACCAGGGAGACGTCCAGGAGGCATCCTGACCAGATGCCCGAGCCACCTCAACTGGCTCCTCTCGATGTGGAGGAGCAGCAGGTCTACTCCGAGCCCCTCCCGAATGACCAAGCTTCTCACCCTATCTCTAAGGGAGAGCCCAGGCACTCTTCGGAGAAAACTCATTTCGGCCGCTTGTATCCGTGATCTCGTTCTTTCGGTCACCACCCAAAAATCAAGACCATAGGTGAGGGTAGGAACGTAGATCGATGGGTAAATCGAGAGCTTCGCCTTCTGACTCAGCTCTCTCTTCACCACGACAGACCGGTACAACGTCCCCATCACTGCAGACGCAGCACCAATCTGCCTACTGATCTCACGCTCCAGTTTTCCCTCACTCGTGAAAAAGACCCCGAGATACTTGAACTCCTCCACTTGGGGCAGGACCTCATCCCTGACACGGAGAAGGCATTCTACCCTTTTCCGAATCAAGACCATGGTCTCAGATTTAGAGGAGCTGATTCTCATCCCAGCTGCTTCACACTCGGCTGCAAACCGCTCCAGCGAAAGCTGAAGTTCACATTCTGATGAAGCCAACAGGACCACATCATCTGCAAAAAGCAGAGACCTGATCCTCAGGCCACCAAAACAGATGCCCTCCACACCTTGACTGTGCCTAGAAATCCTGTCCATAAAGGCTATGAACAGAATTGGTGACAAAGGCCAGCCTTGGTGGAATCCAACTCTCACTGGGAACAAGCCCAACTCACTGCCGGCAATGCGGACCAAACTCTGACACCGGTCATACAGGGACCTAACAGCCCGTATCAGAGGGCCTGGTGCCCCATTCTCCCAGAGTACCCCCCACAGGGCCCCCCAAGGGACGCGGTCAAACGCCTTCTCCAAATCCACAAAACACATGTAGACTGGTTAGGCAAATTCCCACGCACCTTCCAGGATCCCCCTAAGGGTATAGAGCTGGTCCAGTGTTCCACGGCCAGGACGAAAACCACATTGCTCCTCCTGAATCTGAGGTTCAACAATCCGATGGACCCTACTCTCCAGAACCCCTGAGTAGACCTTACCAGGAAGGCTCAGGAGTGTGATCCCCCTGTAGTTGGAACACACCCTGTGGTCCCCCTTTTTAAATAAGGGGACCACCCCCCCGGTCTGCCAGTCCAGTGGGACTGCCCCCGATGTCCACGCAATATTGCAGAGCCGCGTCAGCCAACACAGCCCCACAACATCCAGAGCCTTAAGGAACTCTGGGAGCCTTGCCACAGAGGAGCTTTTTAACCACCTCAGTGACCTCGGCACCAGAGATTTGAGAGGCCAACCCAAAGTCCCCAGACTCTGCTTCCTCACTGGAAGATGTGTCAGTGGGATTGAGGTGTTCTTCGAAGTATTCTGTCCACTGATCCACAACGTCCTGAGTAGAGGTCAGCAGCACACCGTCCCCACTATAGATAGTGTTGGTAGTGCACCCCCCCCCCCCAACCCCCGAGGCACCGGATGGGGGACCAGAATCTCCTCGAAGCCGTACGGAAGTCTTGCTCCATGGTCTCACTGAAATCCTCCCATGCCCGGGTTTTTGCCTAGGCGACCACCCAAGCCGCGTTCCGCTTGGACTGCCGGTACCAGTCAGCTGCCTCTGGAGTCCCCTAGGCCAAAAAGACCTGATAGGACTCTTTCTTCAGCTTGACAGCATCCCTAACCACAAGTGTCCACCAGCGGGTTCGGGGGTTGCCACCACAACAGGCACCAACGATCCTGCAACCACAGCTCCGGTCGGCCACCTCAACAATGGAGGCCCGGAACAGGGTCCATTCAGACTCAATGTCCCCCGCCTCCCCCGGATCATTTTGGAAGTTCTGTCGGAGGTGGGAATTGAAGCTCCTTCTGACAGGAGACTGCCAGACGTTCCTAGCAAACCCTCATGATACGTTTGGGCCTGCCTGATCTGACCAGCATCCTCCCCCACCATCTGAGGCAACTTACCACCAGGTAGTGGTCAGTTGACAGCTCCGCCCCTCTCTTTACCGGAGTGTCCAAGATATGCGGCCGCAGGTCAGATGAAACAACAACAAAGTCGATCATCGAGCTGCAGCCTAAGGTATCCTGCTGCCAACAGCACATATGGACACCTTTATGTCTGAACATGGTGTTCATTATAGACAATCCATGACTGGCACAGAATTCCAATAACAAAACACCACTCGAATTCAGATCAGGGGGGCCGTTCCTCTCATTCACACCTCTCCAGGTCTCACTGTCGTATCCCATGTGAGCTTTAAAGTCCCCCAGCAGAACGAAGGAGTCACCAGAAGGAGCGCTCTCCAGCACTTCCTCCAAGGTCTCCATAAAGGGTGGGTAGTCTGAACTGTAGTTTGGTGCATAAGCACAGACCACAGTCAGAACCCGTCCCCCCACACATAGGCGGAGGGAGGCTACCCTCTCATTCACTGGGGTAAACCCCAACGTACAGGCACCAAGATGGGGGGCAACTAGTATGCCCACCCCTGCTTGGCGCCTCTCAGTGGGAGCAACTCGAGTGGTAGAAAGTCCAACCCCTCTCAAGGAAACTGGTTCCAGAGCCAGAGCCATGTGTTGAGGTGAGTCCAACTATATCTAGTCGGAACCTCTCAACCTCACACACCAACTCAGGCCCCTTCCCCACCAGAGGTGACATTACATGTGTCAAGAGCCAGCTTCTGTAGCCGAGGATCAGACCACCAAGGTCCCCGCCCTCGACTACCACCCGTCACACACTGCACCCGACCCCTTTGGCCCCTCCCACAAGTTGTAATCCCATGTAGTTGTAATTTCCTTAAAAGTACTCCGTGGTGTATCGGGACATGGGTAGTTTATGCTCATTAAGCAAAAATGGACAGCTACAGTTTTTAAGCTCAACTCTCCCATATTCCAGTCCGAATGGACAAAGCTTCTTGGATGAGAAGCAACATATCTTCTAGAAACCAAAGAAGTCCAGCTGCTTTCATTTCAACCGCTTCAGATTGCCATGACCTGGATGACTGAGAACCTGCAGCAGCATATTGACTATCATTAAGTAAGTTATGTTTTTCAAATAAAACTATTGAAAAATTCAGTAGTGACAAATCTCCAATCAAAACAGAACAGGAGGCTCACTTTCAGTGAGAAACTCATGCTGTGTGTGTGTGTGTGTGTGTGTGTGTGTGTGTGTGTGTGTGTGTGTGTGTGTGTGTGTGTGTGTGCGCGCAGACACCGTGAGGGTCAGATGCTCTTCTAAAATAAAGTATGAGTCTCACTGCATTTTAATATTTAAAATGGCTTTGTTACATCTTAACTGTTTTTATTGTAGTTTCCATTGTGTTTGGAGAATGTAAACAATTACTGAACACGAACTTTGCTGCAACACTTCAAAGTCTGCCGATTGAGGGGCATTAAGGCCCTAAGGCAAGCCACCAGTTGAGGTTTACTGGCCTACAGCATCTATTTTAGTCTGCGAAAAATTTAATCTGTTTTGATATTTCTTTATTTCTCTGATATAATTTATCTTCTCATCACCGAGGCCTTTGCATCAGTTAACCCCAAAATGACTACAACTGGACTCCCTCTGCCAGACGAATCTTTCCATTGTCTTGTTGATTTTGGAATGTCCACCACTTTCTGACAAAGTTGGCAGTCCTGTATGCCCTTATTTTAAATTTCATTAAATTACGGTGAATACGGTATAAAACGTTCTATTTTTAATAAGAAAATAACATCTGGTAGAGAAGTATGGTGCGGACTGATTCCTCGTGATACAGAAGTTGGAATTTAAAGACCATACATGACATTTTTTAATAATGATAATTTTATTTATTTATTAAAGCAGGCCCTGGTGTACATTTACAGAATGAGATTCTGCGTTGAGCTGGTGCATGATTCTGTACAGATCTTTGCTGGCCACCTGATGGCGCTCGTCCAACATCTTTCAAGAGAAACAGCGTTGATGAATTTCCTCAAGAAACACAAACCAAACACAGACTCCAGCCCCCTAAACGAATCACAAGAAAAACACACGCAGTTTCTATCATGTGCGTTAATGACACGAGTTGGCACGAGAAAGAGACAATGTGCAAAAGTCCTCAGGCATGGACAAGGTGTCACTCTGAAACGACATTTCAGCAATGTTCTTCAATAACAGAGAAGAGAGTGAGAGCTGCAGTCGTGTCGTGATTTATTTCAAAGCAACAAAGTGAAAGATACAATAAAAAATACAGTCATACAAATCAAAACGCTTCGATTGCTCTGGTCCAACCACTGCCTGTCAACAGTGTGTGTCTTAAACAAATTGTTTGAGTGGCGAATATTTGCTCAAGGTCCGTTTGCTGCCAACTCACAAACTCTGAGAGTCCACCTGATCCCAGCACCGAGATCAGATTGGAGATGTTTGCGCTGTCCAGCTGGTCCGAGTCTGAGTGTAAATCCTCATCACTTCTCATCCGTTTGCATGGCACCGCTCCAAAGTCCGGCAAATAAAATTCTGGATCAATAATGTAGTAACTTGTGTCCATCTTTCGCTTTTTAGTGACGCCCAGTGCGCCCTGCGGCTGTTTGGGCTGCGCGCAACAGTCTGAATGGAAGTATCCGTTGGTGACGGTTGTCACCACATGGGTGTCCAGGTCCAGGACAGTCTTTTGGTTAGCCTGAGAATTCGGGACAATCAACTCCCAGGAAGGTTTGTCTGAACAGCTCCAACAGGCTTCCGAAACCATGAGGTCAGGGTCACTTGGTGAAACCATAGCGCAGGCTGGTGCGTCTTGGTGCGCCACCACTGCAGGCTGGCCGCTGGATTGGTGCGCTCCGCAGTGCCAAGTGCCCGACTCAACCCCGTTAAAGTTGCAATAGAAGTCATCAGCCAACTCCGTGAAGCTGCCCGTTAATTCGAGGTATTCTTGCCTTTCGCGGACCACGGCCACATCCTCGTATGGAGGCGTCCTCTGCGTCTGCGACGAGGTTTTGCTCATGTATAACTGCCTGGCGTTTCTCAGGACGTACGTTACCAGCAAGTTCTTGTGAAGCTTGATGCCTCCTCTCTGCGTCCTGGAGCTCTGGATTTTCCTCAAAGAAATGGAGATCAGATTCTGTGCGTCAAATGCACACTCCATCCTCAACCGGGCCGCCCGTTCTCTCCGCTCAGATTCTCAAACCAGTCGTTTTCTGATGAGAGAAATATTTATCTCTTTAGTTTGAGATGCCTTCTAGACTCGCGTAGACTGTGTCCATGGCGCTCCATATCTTCCCAGTAAGGGCATGGATTTTCAACTCTCATCTTTTCTTGCCACGCCCTCACGCAGGCATCGTCCAATGGGAGGGAGGCGGTGCATCTGTTATACGCAAATATCACTACCAGGCTCATTCAAAATGCACGTAGCAGGCATGCTGCATTTCTGCAAGTGTGTTCGGCTCTTTAAAGCAATTAAAATCAGACTTTCAGTCAGAATTACATCTAACTGAATAGAAGAAATAAAAAGAATGGGCAAATATAATGTACAAAACAATGATGGATAAGATGTTTTGAAAGGAATGTAAAACCAGTCTAAAACACAGAAATAAAAATCATATAAAGTATAAGAAATAAAGTAACAACATGATACTAAATAAATAGAATCTGATATTATTCACAAATATTTAAATACCATTTTTTTACAGACAATAATATATGGTCTCTTCATTTTGTTTAAAATCCCAAATCAGGAAAAAGAGAAGAGGAGAACAAGAAGGCACAGAACAAACCCTTCAGTACTTCTTGATGGGGCTTCAGTGGTTGCAGCAAGGCGTTGCATAACTTCTGTAATTCTGCAACATAGAGCCTAATTTTCTTTGCAGCCATCTGTTGGGGCAGAAGCAGAATTACACACAGTGACTCAATGAAACTGAACAAACTGATACAAAGGCTAGCTCTTCACTGGAGTCCTCAGCTAATAGTGCAAAGAAAAATGTTGCACAATCCCCAGAGGACAATGGACACCATAACCCTTCTGCGGAAGACGTATGTATCCATTGGCACAGTTTATGCCAAAGAAGACACCACAGTAGGATGGAAGACTCAGTCAACTAGCCTCTTGTTTTAAATCTTCTTTAGAATTCAGTTTAGTTTATTTAATAATTAGAGGCACATTTTATAATTTTAGCCACTGATTAATTTCTATTTAAATATTTGCAAATGAACACAAATTTCGTGTGAAAAAAAATATATGTTTATAATTATTATTTATTTATTAGGGGGAGTGGGGGGGGGGATTTTACTAAATTTAAATTAAAGCAAAAACCAACAACTGTAGCTTAGTTGTAGTTTTGCTTCTCCTTGATACTGAAAGCTCTCCATGAGAAGCAAAAACATCCTTGCCCTGGACAAAAGAACCTTCTCCAGCATAATAAAACACTTTCACACTCAAACATATAACTATTTTTAAATTTATATAATTGTTTGGCATCCATCCATCCATCCATCCATCCATCCATCCATCACCTTCCAATTATCCGGAGTTGGGCCGTGGGGGCAGTAGCCTAAGCACAGAAGCCCAGACTTCCCTCTCCCCAGCCAATTGGGCCAGCTCCCAAAGTCCCAAAGTGTTCCCTGGCCAGCTGAGACACATAGTCCCTCCATGGTGTCCTGGATCTTCCTTTATGTCTCCTCTCAGTTGGACATGCCCAGATAACCTCGCCAGGGAGACGTCCAGGATGCATCCTAACCAGATGCCCAAGTCCAACTGACACCTCTTGATGTGGTGGAGCAGCAAAGCTCCTCCGAGCCCCTCCTGGATGACCAAGCTTCTCACCCAATTTCTAAGGTAGAGCCCAGACACCCTGCTGAAAGAGAAAACAAATCTTGGCCACCTGTATTCTCAATTTCATTCTTTCGGTGACTATATTGTGACCATAGTTGAGGGTAGGAATGTAAGATCAACTGGTAAATTGAGAGCTTCTCCTTCCAGCTTAGTCCTCTCTTCACGACAGACCTGTACAACACCCACATCACTGCAGACACAGCACCAACCCGCCTATCGATCCGCTCCATCTTTCCCTCACTCATGAACAAGACCCCAAGACACTTAAACTCCTCCATTTGAGGCAGGACCTCGTCCCTGACCTGGAGAAGGCATACCCTTTTCTGACAAAATACCATTGTCTCAGATTTAGAGGAGCTGGTTCTCATCCCAGCCGTTTCACACTCGGCTGCAAACTGCTCCAGCGAAAGTTGGAGATCATGGTCTGATGGAGCCAACAGGACCACATTATCTGCAAAACCAGACTTGATCCTTAGGAAAATTTATCTTCTCAACACCTTGACTACACCTAGAAATCCTGTCCATAAAAGTTATGAACAGAATTTGTGACAAAAGGCAGTCTTGCCAGAGTTCAACTCTCATTGGAAACAAGCTTGACTTACTGCCAGTGATGCAGACCAAGCTCTGACACTAGTCATACAGGGGTCTAACAGCCCATATCAGAGTATGGTACCCCGTACTCCTGAAGTACCCCCCCACAGGGCCTCCTGAGGGATGTAGTCAAACGCGTTTTCAAATCTAAAAAATACATGTAGATTGGTCACTCCCACACACACCCCAGGACCCTCCTAAGGGTGTAGAGCTGGTCCAATGTTTCACGGCCAGGACAAAAACCACATTTCTCCTTTTGAATTTGGGGCTCAACTATCCAACAGACTCTTCCCTGAACAGACTTTACCAGGGAGGCTCAGGAGTGTGATCCCCCTGTAGTTGGAACACACCCTGTGGTCCTCCTTGTTAAATAGGGGGACTACCACCCTGGTCTGACAATCCTGTGAAATTGTCCTTGTTGTAACCCCAGTGACCCATGTCCAGGTGAGGGAACACTGTGTCAATTTATGGTTTCCTCATGGGGGGTCAGTGAGCGGCACTTTTTCTTAAAACCTCACAAAGAACCTGCTTGCTGCTGCTTGGTGACCTTACCAGAGACATAAAACCTCAGACAACATAGCTCCTATCATTGGGACACTCAAATCCCTCCACCACGATAAGATGGCAGCCTAGGGACCTTAAATGTTTGATAACACCTTATAATAAGGGTCCTACTATTAATGTTATTTGGTGCATTATTAAGCATTAATAAACTATTAAATAAAAGCATTACCAACTGCTTAACCATATTGTGTAATGCATTACTAGGCCACCCCGGCCCTTTGTCCTAACCTCAAGGACATTTAATAGTTAACAACAGTAACATTAAAAAAGGGACCCTTTATTTATTAATGGTTAATGAAGGGACATTTATTTTAACATGTTGCCAACATGTTTAGAGACATGAAAATGTTCCCATTTTCTACTCCTCAGGTCCTTTGGGTAATCCTCCAGAATGCACCACATCTGAATATAGTTTAGTGACAAGATAAGTGTCTCCATTTGTAGCTGGTTTCAGTCCCGCCCCTTCTGTGTAATTAAAAAGTAAAACTATATACTGTATCTCAGATCTTTTTTTTTTAGGAGTTAATTTCTAATGAGCCATGTAGTTATCATCTTAGAGCTGCATGTCCAAATGAGCAGGAAGGACTTTCAGATTCATATCCGGAATGCTTGGACACTAAAATCCATCATGGCCGCTCCTTATGGGGTGTTTCTCAATGTCAAGGCACCTGGCCTCGCAAGGCAATGTCTTGCGAGGCCAGGTGCCTTGCTTATGAGGACATTGTTCTTCTTTGGTAAAAGGAAATGGTTAAATAGAACACACTTACCTTACGTGACGGCAGAATCCACGGCGGTACCATCACGTCACATGACACATGAGGTAACATTATATTCTATATGCATAAGTTTCAATATAAATGTATAATAAGCCATTTAATTTTGTGTATATATGGTTAAATTAAATATGTAAGCAAGTTAGTACCAGCTAGCCACCAAAGCTGCAACAACTAAGCAGCTAACCAACCAAAGATAAGTGCTTTGGATCTACAAAAAAATAAAAATAAAAAAATCAGATATCAGCTGACAGCTTACATTTAAACTGGAAATTTGCCCCCGAAGTAGCTGCTGTTGACTCCTGATCCGCCATCCTTTTGAAAATACAACGCTGTTTTATGGGAAATTTTTGACTAAGGTCAGGCTACAAAGCACTTCCCGTGTATCCTTGCTCAGCTAGCTAAACAGCTAACAAACTGAGAACAGATGCCTCAGTAGCACATGAACTACAATGGTCTTTTCAACAATGAAATATGACAAAAGTCTCTCTTTGTGTCAGAATTGTATCTATATTGTCTCTATAACATAATCCTACATTGAACATGGGGGCACATAGAAGGGAATCGTATAATCTGCTGCCTTAATATGCCAAAATGATCTTTTGTTGATAAATGACTGCAGTCATCTTGACTTGGCCAAATCTTTAGGACAACAATATCATTGATAATGTGCAGTTTTTACCAATAATTTCTGGAAATATCCAACAAAATGTCATTGAAAAGGAAATAAATGATGCCCAATTGTTGAAAAATATTTGTGGCCTTGGAAAATATAACCATAAAAATCTGTTTTAAAATACATGGGAGGTTCTAAAGCCTCTGGGGGACTTCAAGTACGACGCAGCGTTTCTTTCTATGTGAGTCCATGAGGACAAAATGCATTTACTGATTTGTAATAATGGGGTAAAAAACTTTCCCCATTTATAAATGTTGTTGATTTACACGAATATTTCTTTGCTCGTTGCCAGTGACGAAAGAGGGTCTGATGTGCTTGTTATTTTGCTGGAAGTTGAGCTCCCAGGGATTTTTGAGCCTAAAATGGCCATCCGTTAGTATCTTAGCACTGGTGTTGTAAATGACTCTCAGCTCCAACAACATTCATTTAAAGCTCAATATCTATAAAAGTTTTGAGCTGCTGATATTTTTTTTCTGTTTGTGGTAGATATCTGGAATGGAGCTGACCCAAAAGGGAAATCCATTGTACATCCAGTGATTACATTTTAAGGGTTTAAATAAAATCTACTCATTTGCTCATCAGGTATAAGACAGACGGTGTTGACTCCAGCATTTCAAAGTTAGGCAGTCATGTTCAATGTCTGTTTGCGGTGTAAACACCCTATTTAAATGAGCGTGTGTACAGAAACAATGAATTGCAACGGGTCTGGAATTGTTAGTGACATTATTAAAACTGGATTTTGTGACAAAAAAGAACAATAAAACAGTCAGCTGGTAGAAAAGCTCTGTGTAGAAAGATTATCCGTCATCTGTGGCCCACATCTGTGTGTATGCACACACACAGATGGCTGACATCATACCCAACACCTGGATGGG